GCAACGAAGCCTCGGTATTCGGGTCTCAGACCATGGATAATTATCCTTTTTATCCTAGACTCCACAATAGCAGCATTAGGATCTAAATCAGAAATTTCACGGCATGTGGACTTTACCTTGTGGAAGTACTGAGCAATCGTCATGTCACGTTGTGCAACGGATAGCAGCTCGTTCTCAAGAAGTTGTAGTCTTGTGTCATTCCTTTTTGAAAAGAGTGTTGCAAAGGTGTCCCATGCTTCCTTTGGTGTTTTGGCTTTCCTTATGTGCTCCAACATTTCTTCTTCAATTGTTGTCTTCAGGGCAAACATGGCTTTACCTGCTTTGATCTTCCACTTACGCAAAGCGTCGCTATTGTCTTCTCGTGGTTGTGCAACATCGTTGCCCCCGACGACATCCCAAAGATCTTGACCTTGCAGATAAGACTCCATGCATGTCGCCCACGTGTTGTAATTTTTGTTGTTGAGCTTCGTGATTCCTCCAACTACGTGAAGATCACCCATCGTGTCGGCAGAATTCCGGCAGTACCGAACAAGCTTGAACTAAATATGCAAACTTGTAGAGACAAATGCTTCACGACTCAAAGAAGCTCCCGCAGAATCAGTCACTGACCGTCCCGCTCTGATACCAATTGTTGAGCAAATTTTAGAGTACACAACTCTAAGATAGACTTGTTGGAGACAAAACAAGTAAACAATTTACTTGTATTAGACTCACAAAATATTACAACAAACAACTCTCAAAGGAAAGACTAACTCTTACAAACACTCTTTCTCACTTCACTCACACTTCTCACAATGACTCCTTAGCTCTATAGCTCACTCTTCTAGTTGACACACACTTTACTTCTTGATTCTTACAAAGCATGGCTTTATGCCTATTTATAGTTGTTCTAGCCGACATAGCTCTCCATTCCACTGCCTTTGCTACATAATTCTTTTACTTTCTAGACTATTCTCCATTCCTAGCCGACATAGCCTATGTAACTTTCTAGAATCAACTACATTAATCTATTACAATACTAGTTACTAGGTCGGTGGAACTTCCTTCACTTTTCCAGATTTTTCTATACTTATCTAGCTCAAGTGTTGATTATCTTCTCTAGGCTTTATTTCCTTGTTGTTTATACTTTGCTCCTCAAAATAGGTTGAGCTGGGGTTGATACTTTAACACTCTCTTCATCAGTTATCACTCCCTCTCTGTTTTCCAATATGAAGCTTACCATATATAACAGAAGAAATTCGAAAAATAATTTAACCAATTATCAGAAACCCATAATGCAATTCTAAGAATGAAGAAAAGGAGAATTTTTAACCCTCAGTGAGATGTGAGGTGTGGCTCCAATAAAGAAAACAGTATTACACATGAAAATAAATAAATATTTGAGGTGTGGCTCCAATATTGACGACTCAAAAAGAGAAAGAGAGAGCGTCAGTGAGATGAGAGAGAAAGAAAAGGGATTTGAGTTCCAGGGAAAGAGAGGGAGAGATGAAAAGGAGACTCGCTGAGAAGAGAGAGAAAGAAAGGGGATTTGCGTTCTAGGGGAAGAGAGGGAGAGATGAAAGGGAGACTCGGTTAGAAGAGAGAGAAAGAGAGGGAGAGATGAGAGAGAAGAAGATGGCTTTGAGTTGCAGAGGGAAAAAAAGACGGACGATGGAGCAGGCGTGAAAAAAAATTTAGAAGCATCAAAAGAGTTTGACAGCTGTCAGGAGTTAATTGGCTTGGGATACTGACGTGGATGCTGACCTTGTCATCCGCATGCCAGGAAAGTTTTTCTCACCCAAATGAAGAAAAATCTGTCTTCAAAGTGTTGACGCTGTTCAATGATATTCTACCACATGTACAATTAAAGTTACACTCATCATAAAAAAA